ATGTGGAATGAAGTGGGCGGGCATCGGGAGGCCACTATGGCACGGGGCAAGCACTATGGGCAGTCTATCTGAAGTGTACCTGGAGTATAAGACGACCCCCCACTTGGAGGCATATTTTTCAGGGCCAAAAAATCGTCTTATACTCCGGCAAATACGGTATGTAGCACGTGGATATTAATCTGCTACATAATACATGGTTCTGGTACCAGTGAGAGAAAATAAAGATCACAGGATGTAGGTCTGGTGTATTTCATCAGCCGGTTAAATGAAAAGTCCATTTTGTTTTATTTATTTTTTTAATATATTTTATTGATTTTTTACAGAGAGGAAGGGAGAGAGAGAGTAAAAACATCGATTAGAGAGAAACATCAATCAGCTGCCTCCTGCACACCTCCTACTGGGGATGTGCCCGCAACCCAGGTACATGCCCTTGACTGGAATCGAACCTGGGACCTTTCACTCCGCAGGCCGATGCTCTATCCAGTGAGTCAAACCGGTTTCGGTGAAAAGTCCATTTTAAATGAAAGAACTTAAGGACAGGAACGGGTCAGAGAAATTAGTCAAATATTGATTTTTGAGATGACATTTTTAGACAAATATGAAATTTAAAAAAAAAAATGAAGGTCGCAGGTGCAAGAACCTTAGTTTGTGTTGTCTAACTTACAGTCCACCTTGTGTAGCACTATCTCTGCTTAAAGATTAACAAAAAGGACTTCCAGTTTCAGCACCAAAATACCAAAAGCTTGGAAGTCATGGTCTTCATCCTTCCCAGGAAAAGCTGGACAAGCTAAACATTGATTCTTTTTCTGGGACTAATTACAGAACCAAGGTCACAGGGCCGCCCACCGCCCAGCCATCTGGAGAGACCTAATCACCTGGAGCAGAAGCCACCGAGCCAGAAACTCATAACAGGGAAGCGGCACTTCTGATGGGATGACAAAGGCCAAGCGCGGGTGAGCGTGTGTGAACCACGAGGGCCTGCCGTGTTAGGGAGGCCCCGCACTTCCAAGGGGTTCGCCTCCAGGAAGCCCAGCAGGTTCTCACTGTGAACAACCAGCAAAGATCTCCTCTGGGATGAGAAGAATCATGCTGAAATATGTCCAGAACCTCCTCCATCGTAAAGGCCTACTGTCCAGAGGACACTATTTTACCAGGCCTCACCCTACCTGGGATACTCCTCCCGCCTCCCTGCCTCACCTAAGTGGAGAGAAAGAAGCTATGAAACACCTGTGAAGGCCACAGCTCTGTAGATAAAGTTTCAATCATAAAATTGTAAAAGCTTTCCCTCTTCCACGCTTCCCCACCACACCCACCGTGCTCCCGTGTACTAACAGCGGATTCAACTGGGCGTGCTGCAAGACACACACCACCTAATGAGACATTCTTAGGGAAATCCACGGACCACAGGAGACAAAAACAAAACGCCGGAGGAATGTGAAGCCTCTGGCACCTACAGGTACAGCAAACATTCAACGCAGCCCAACCTCCAGCAATATTATCAAAAACCTCACAGCTCACTAAAGCCTTATCCACCTCCGTTCCTATTACCTAATATACCAGGCCCAGCTCTCAACAAAAAGACTGCAAGACAAAAGGCAAGTTGCTAAAAGGCAAGGAAAAACACAGTCTGAAAGACAAAGCATCAAACGACACTCAGTTTTGACACAGATTTGTTAACCATTAAACAGGAATTTAAAACAACTGTGATTAATTTCTGCAGCGTGCTGATGGAAAATGTGGACAGCATGCAAGAACGGATAGGTAATGTAAGCAGAGAGATGGACACTCTAAGAAAGAACCCCAAAGAAACTCTAGGAATCAAAAACACTTAGCAACTGATGAATGCCTTTGATATAAGCCTATTCGTAGACTGGGTACCCCTGAGGAAAGAACCCGTGAGCTTGAAGATTTGTCAATAGAAACTTCCCAAATTGAAATGCAAAAGGATTGATTGAAAAAAAGATAAATCCTATGGGCCTGGATACCTCATCTTAGATCCAAAGTACTTTCCTACGTTAGAAGAGAACTTGTGTGTGTGTGGCGGGTGGGTGTTGTCAGTGTTTCTGTCGTTTGGGGGCCTTGTTATTATAAACCTGGTTCCCACAAAATGAAATTTGACTACAGGGCGTGTACAGTGTAAAACATTTTGAAACCAGGATGCAACTGTCACGTGCATTTAATCCCATTCGTTGAGCAGCTTCCACAAGAACTCTACCAAAGACATGGCTTATGTACAAGTTGTTGCGAATCAGCCTTTAATTAAAACTTGCTGGCTAGGCTGCCACCGGAATCTTATATTTGTTTTGGACACTGATGTATCCTAAGCATTTGGTATAGTGCTAGGCATCCTGGCCAGTTCAATTCCAGTCAGAGCACATGCCCAGGTTGCAGGTTCCACCCCAGGCAGATTCGTTTCTTTCTCCTCTTCTCTCTTTCTCTCTCTCTCTCACCAATAAGATATCTAAAAAAAATATATATATATACCCTGGCCAGTGTTGCTTAGTGGATAGAGCAGGGGTGGGCAACCTTTTTGTGAGTGCATGCCAAAACCAGCAAAATCTCTGACTCAAAATTCTTCTGCGTGCCAACCCTAATTTTTTGAGAACATGTTACACCTACTTGATATCTCTTAAGGTGTATATATGTGAAGAACCTTGAAAAAATTATAAAATTCATTCAAGCGATAAAAACACAGTATATGATGAAAAATACATTTATTTTTTAATGTATACATGTACACTGATAGTCCAACAGAAAACTTTATGATTCCGTTTGATATTATCAGTGGGACTTTTGCTGCTGCATCACTGATGACAGAGATTTTACATCAGGTTTATATTTCATGCCCTTCAGAGAGAGGCACGAGCTACTACTTTCATCCGTCAAGCTACTCCTATTATGAGAATTAACAAAATTCATCACTGAGAACAAAGACTCACAAGTACAGGGAGAGTTAAGGCAGAGGCATAGAAATTGCTCTTCCCCTCTCTCGTCAATCCATGTCTATGGTCTTTAAGATAACTTGTTATGTAAAATTATTTATTTATCTAAGGTGCACCTACACTGAATTTATCTAAAAAATAAAAAACTCGATATTAAGAAAAAATTGTAAGTGGAAGATTATAAGAGAGGGTTTCACGTGCCAGCAAAAGTTACTGGCATGCCATGTTTGGCACGCGTGCCAGGGGTTGCCCACCCCTGGGATAGAGCATCAGCCTGTGTACCAAAAGGCAGATTCCCGGTCAAGGGCATGTACCTGGTTGCAGGCTTGGTCCCCTGCCCCAGTTGGGGGGTGTTCGGGAAGCAACCAATCGATGTGTCTCTCTCACGCCGATGTCTCTCTGTCTCTCTCCCTTCCTCTCTCCCTCCCACCTTCCCTTCCTCCCCGCTGCTACTCTCTAAAAATAAATGGGAAAATATCCTTGGGTGAGGATTAACAAAAATAGGTAGTGCCTGGCATATAACTGGTGCTAAATAATATTTGCTATGTAAATGAGCAGATGATTGAAATTATATTACTGTTATACACATAGGAGAAAGCATTACCCAGAATTAACACTGAAGAAATATTTTTCTTCATCCGTTAGAGTTTTATTAATTTTATTTATATTTCAAAAGAGCAAACTTTTGTCTTTTTTGTGTGTATTTTGTTTTTCTATTTTCAAGCCCATTGATATCTGCTTTTACCACCCTTGGTTCCTTCTTTGCTTGCTTTGGGTTAAATTTGCTCTTTTTTAAATACTTTCTTAAGGATGGAGCTTAAATCTTTAAGATCATTCTCCTTTGGAAATACAAATGTATAATATAAATTTCCTTCTAAGCCCTGAGTTAGCCACCTTCCACAGATTTTGATATGTTGTGCTTCCTCCTTCATTCAACTCAAACTATCCAGAAATGTCTTTGACCCATGAATTACTTAGAAGTGTTTTGTAAACATTCCAGATATTTCCATTGTCCAGATGTCTTTTTGTTATTGATTTCTAGTTCAATTACAATATGGTCAGAGAACACACTCAGAATGACTTCAAATCTTTTGAATTGGATGAGTTTTGTTTTATTGTGCAGAATATGATGTATCCTGGTGAGTATTCCATGTGCACTGGGAAATAATGTGTGTTCTGGTACTTTTGGTGAGGTGTTCTGTAAACATCAACAAGGTCAAGTTGGTTGAGCATGCTGTTCAAGTTTCTGTATTCTTAAACTATTTCTATTAGCTTTATCAATAACTGAGAAACGTGTTGAGGTCATCAAATATTATTGTGGTTAGGTGGGTACACCTCAAAGATTTTTACTGCATCCTGATTACATTTTTGACATTAGCATTTTGAAATGACTTCTTCATCCCTGGTAATAATATTTGTTCTAAAGTTTATTTGA